GTCGCTGAAGGGTGGGTAAGAGAGCGAGGGGGGTGGGGGACGGGGGGGACGGGGGGGATGGGCAAAGGCACTGGAAAGGAAGTTGAACGTGTTTATCAATTTGAGCAGCTCCTGGATAGGGCAACCCCGGCATGACCAATGGAGAAGCAGCAAGCAAAACATAAACCATATAAGGGAAAATCACACAGGAGGTACTCGAAGGGGCAGAGACAAGTGCTGAAGACGTTTCCTGCCTCGATTTCTGTCCACAAGAAGGCTGGATACACACACACTAAATGTAAACACATTCAGAGAGAGAGAGAGAGAGAGAGAGTGTGTGTGTGTGTGCGCGTCAATCCATTAGGAAAGAATGATCAACTCCCAAGTCAAGCTCAGTAATATGCAGACAGCCTTCATAAGTTCACACACAAAGTATACAGTAATTCACTTAATATACTCTGTTCTGCGCTTTGAGACATCTTAATCACACAATAAGACGTTATATCAAATGCAAGGATTATTATTATAAATACACACACAATTACTTCATTTGTCAGCAATGTCCTGTGAAGCACTTGGGACACGTTTAGATATTATAGGTGTGACATCAAAAGCAAGGGATATCATTAATGTATTTCTGTTGAGGCACCACGAGTTCAAGCTGGATAATGAACCCGCTGCTCAGCGGACGGACTCCACTGCTCTTCGCTACTCAAGCTGCAGACTATCCGGAGCTCTGCAGCCCAGGTTCCGCAAACCCACCCCCATCCTTTGTGGCTCCAATGGCTAAGAGTGCCACGAACATTTCCAAACCAATCTGGTGTACAATTTGAACCGTCACACGTGAAACACGCAAGGAAGTCTGCCAACAATGAGAGCAAATTAATTTAGCACACTATTCCTAAATACAATTGAAGGATCATATGAGTCAATAACAGATTCTATCCATAGATTACCCTGGGTTTTATCCCAATCTTTGTTTTTCAATCTGTTGGGTGGGAGGAGAAGAGAAGAAATCTCTTAGTTTGGGGAAAATAATAGTGGCTTTAATTGAAAAAACCCCACTAAATTGCTATTGTAAAAATCAAACTGAACAGAGTTGCCTGGAACTTTGATCAAAAAGAAATATACATACTAAATTATAGAAACAATTTCTTTTCCTGAAGAAATAATAGTTCAAAATATTGAGGGGTGCCAACAGATTTAGGATTACTAATAAAGACTCTTTAGTCTCTAAATGTCAATGTGAATGTAACATGGAGGCCAAGGATACACTTCAGGAACCTAAAATGTCATAAACCTTTGATTTCATTTTCATTACTCTTATTGTTTTAAGGGTTGTGGGGTTTGGCTGTGATATCATTCCACCTGAGCTAGTTACCAGCGGTCTACGTTTAGGACCTTTTGCAAAGCTTTAGAGACATTTATACAGTTATATAAACATGCTTATTTCTGAAGAAGTTTGTCTCCTTTCCATGCCAACAATTAAGTACTTAGCTGTCAAATGCTTTTCCTGTAATGCAGTAGAATAGAATTCTTCAGCTATCTACTGCATTCAAACTTTTCATAACTACAGAGAAGCATCTCTGAAACATAAATCAGCCTCTCCGGGAGAAAAGACAAATCACAGAAGTTGATTTATATTAGACAGTCAAGTGCGAGACCCCATGAAAGTTACACCCAGCTCAATTGCTGCATATAAAAATTTCCACTATCAATTGCGAAAAACTTGTTGATTTTTATTTCACACGTTTGTTCTTTGAGAAACTTACTTTGAAGTTAAAGTGGTTAATGGAGGCTAGCCGCAAAACATATTGAAGAGGTAGCAAGGCTTCACTGGGTGCAATGTTGCATGTTGGTTTTTTGCACACCACCACAGCTTGTGGATGCTTAAATTCGTGTGTGCAACTGGTTATCAGATCTTTAATAACATCAGATTCTCTTTCGAGTAAAATAAGACTCTAGGAGTTCAACAGGATGCTCAAGCCCCAAACAATGTCTATTTAATACACATAAATTCATTGAAAAATCCCCTACCTATTGATGAAACATTTTCCTACTAAAAGCAATCTTTACATTTGACAGTAATTATCTGCGAAGCATTCTGAGACATTTGGATATTATAGGTGGTTTACCAAATGCAAGGATTATTATTCTAAAATACTGTAGGAATTATCAGTAGCTTTTTGTCTCCATTATGCCACAGAGCTTTAATTTCCCTTTCGTCAAGGTGAAGAATGGCCTTTAGCATATAGAAAGCTGCTTTACGGTTGAATCACCAGTAAGAGTAAACTCTTTATGTAATCTAGCAATTGTAGAAACCCTCCTCCATTGCCATTTATAGTTCCCCTGTGTACTCCAACCAACAGCGATTAATGACTCATCGAGTTGGAAATGATCTCTGTAAGACAGCAAATGTCTGCTCTAAGGAAGTGGAAATACACCACAGATTAAACAATAAACTAGGACCAGCAAGTAGAAAATGGAGGGTGTTAATTATTTGGAACCTGGAGTCTCTCCAGTAAAAAAAAACAAACACAACATTCTTTCACATATTGCTTATTAGGATAACTTCCAGTGAAAGCAAAGCCAGTTAAACATTTTTTCCTTGTGCTATAGTTAAACCCACCACTTAGCCGAAACCTAATACAGCAGCAATAAAATCCTCTACAACCAAAATAAAGTGCTGCGTCTACCCCGATGGTAAGAAAGATACTAAGTAGAAGCATATGTCAAAAGATGGGGCAACTCGGCTCATCCATTTTCCTCCCAGGCCTGAGAAGATCAGCCATCATTCAACAACTGCATCATTTCAGTTTTTGAACCCAAAAGGTCAGAAGATCAATTGGGTGCAGCTCTCTTATCACTTCCAATTGTTGGAATCATCGACGAAGGGGAAGGGATGTGTGCCTGAACTGTGGACATGAAGACAGTGGCAATGCTCTCACGCATTTCATGCTGAGATGCGCTTCCCACCGGGAAAACTGCAACATTTCACTGCAACAATTGGAGGTGATAGAGAGCTCCGCCGAATTGATCTTCTGACCTTTTGAGTTTGAAAACTGAAATGTTGCAGTTGTTGAATGATGGCTGATCTTCATGCGGAAACCCATCACCATCTTTAAGAGTATTCAAACCAGGCAAACCAGCGCATCCCACCCACACATGGAAATTCAGTCAAGACACCCAGCTGACCAAAAAAAAATCAAAAGCAAGAATAATGTTCTGTTTTAATACAACGTCCAAGTAAATCTATGTCCTTATTGTGGGAAAACTAGCTAACTTCAGACACTCCAACTGAAGTTAATCACAAGGCAAATAATGATGGACAGACACCACTAGTAGTTCTACAATGCAAGATTCAGAATTCTAATGTGGCTTCTGTTTGTGTGGACAAGGGAAGGGGAATGAGTGTGTGAGAGAAGGAGACAGATACCTGTTAAGCTTCTCAATTTTAAAAAGCTCTGTTTAACACGTTTAGGCTTCATTTCAGAAGGAATCTTTTGTGGTTTGAACTCTTAGAGAAATCTCCAAGAATTAGAATCGACATCTTTTATCGGTAATAATTTCTCCCAAAAATATCACACTCTAAAACCACCAACAAGAATCTTTCCCCCCTTACCTCTCCTCTAACTTAGACAGACCTCAATCTAACTGAAGAGTACAAAACAACAAACTCTCAAGGTCCACACATAATCCGAATCCTCAGGTAGATTTCAATCTTTATTCATTGAATATTTTATGTACTATACAGAGCAGCAACATGCTTTGAGCCGTGTGTTACTGTCTCTTGATCCAACTTACTTCCAGGAAACCATTCAGAAATGCTCATCATTTTTAAAATAATATACAGGGAAGTATTGACAAGCAGTAAACGTCTGGGAAATCAAAATGAAGTCTGTAAACTATAAAGTCTGCTTCATTATTGCAGTTTAGAAAATCATCTGAAATATCTGCGCCTTACATAATTGCCTACACACACTCAAAACACATGCACTCAACAGTTTTATAATGAGTAGCCCTACACATTACTCACTGCATCACAATGGGATTGAAAATAACATTTACTTTTGTCAGACTAGTAGCTAACACCCCATTAGACTGTCGGATGCTTCCCTTAATATAATAATATAATAATCCTTGCATTTGATATGGCGCTTTTCACGTCTTCTAGACATCTCAAAGCGCTTCACAGAATATACTGTAGAATGAATTTACTATACATTTGTGGGTGAATCGTGGCAGCCAATTCCGCACAGTAGTGCCCCACAAACAGGTGTGGATTGAAGTGACCAATTTATTATTTTTTCTTCTTGAGGGATTATTATCAGGTGAGTGGAGTCAGGAAACTTGCCCAAGGTTTTGCCCTGCTGGGAATCAAACCCAGGTCTCTCGCTTGTGAGGCGAGTGCTGTAACCACTGAGCTACAGGACCTGCACTAAATTACTGTTGTGTTTAATACACAGAGGCTTTCTTCTGTGTTGAAAATATATTTAGATTTTAAATCAGACAAACATCTGCAGTATACTGCAAAACTGGTAAAGCATGGTTGTTTATGATCTTTACATTAAACAGTCAGTAAACATTACAGTTAAGTAGCAGTACATATATTTGTAACTGAATGGTTCCCTTATTATCTGTAAGCCTGCAAAGTCAAGATACTGCTTATTCCACAGAACTACAATGCCTGAGCCACACTAAGGTAATCTGTAACTATATGGAGCTGTTTATTGTTAGCTCACATTGTTTGATTCCCTCCAAATACACCCTGTTGCCTTTCCATTTTTGCAGACATTCAGTTCCATCTTTGGGTGGGCACAATGCCATCACAGTATTACTGTAGGAAAACTAGTTGCTTTCAGACACTTCAACTAAAGTTATTCACAAGTCAACTAACGACGGATGGACACCACCACAATGTAGTTCTACAATGCAAGATTCAGAGTTTTAACGTGGATGGCTTTTTATATGGACGAGGGAAGGTGATTTCAGTGTGTTATAATGCCATTTGTGCCTCTTACCTGATTGTACCAGTGGGTGAGGGGATGGGACTGACGCGGTGGATATTTGGATCAGGAATGTTGATTTTGAGTGGTGAGATCTGTGGCCGGAGTGGACGGAGTGGAGATGGCGGTTGTTCTTCCTTCACTTCTTTCTTGCTGTGAAGTGACGTAAATGCGATCTTTATGACTGTGCTGGGGAAACGGAAAGTACATCTGAAAGGAAAGAAAAAGATGGGATCACTTATATTTCTGAAAGGCAACACGTAACAACAGCAAGTCCAGACACAATTTTAGCATTACCTACCCATGTAACAATAATGATCCTTGCATTTGATATAGCGCCTTATCACATCTTTGAGATGTCTCAAAGCGCTTCACAAATTAAACTGTAACGTGAAGTGACTGTATATTTTGTGGGCGGAATGCGGCAGCCAACTGCGCACAGCAGTGTTCCACAAACAGTCGTGGATTGAGTGAACATATTATTTTTATTTATTGTGAAGGGAATATTACTCCCGGAAAAGTGATCTGCTAATCAACTAACAACCAGGTTCCTACTTACTGCTAGATAAACAGAGGCGCGTAGAGTAAGGAAACTTGTCTAAGGTTTCGCCCTGCCCAGAATCAAACCCAGGTCCTCACGCTTGCAAGACAAGTGCTCTAACCATTACTTTCCAGTCTCGTCCATAATGTGCCCCGTTGCCCCTTCTCTTGACTGTCAATTGCCCTCCTAATGTTTCAAAAGCTCAGGGTCTCCAAAGAGCAGACAATGCTCACCAGCATCAAGATACCAGTGGTGAAGATCCTGTGGTTAACGGAGATAATGCTCATTGAAGGTGCTCGATCTGGCAGTGGCATCACCATATGCATCTAAACAGTAGGGGGCAGCACTCAGGTTATTGCTAATACTCAGGAGCTGCTGCAATGGCACCTTCCAGAGTGACGCTTACTCACTTTATTGAAAACTATTACGACACACTGTCAACAGATTCCAAGTGCTGACAGAGCATGTTATAGCATGCTTAATCTATTTTCTTCTGGAGAATCCATGTTGGAGACTGAGACACTCCTGCATTTCTCCTTCAGGACGAGGTTAAAGACTTTGTTGAAGTACCATGGCCATTCAAGTCTGTGCCACCCTCGTCATATCTCTTAACGTTCAGAGTTCTCAGCATATCAACCCAGTGCCTTTTTGAATGATTTGATTGTATTGTATTGATCCAGCCTCAATAACTACTTGCGGTAATGGATTCCACACCCTAATACTATAACACAGAGTGAAGAAATTACTTTTTAAAACTCTATGTGTTAAATTTACAGCTTCAGTTTTTAAAAGACAAGTTACCTTTTCCTTCAGAAACACAAACCAGAACACAATCTGAAAAGAAAGAGGAAAATTCTTTGCAAATGCATAAACAGGATTTACATTGCTGATGCCGTGAACTGCTAGCTCTGTAACTAAGGACTTCCCTATCCCTTTGTGGTATATTAGCACCTCCAAAATATTTACTACTGCCAGCCATCACACTGGGTCACTATGTCTATCTGACAACATGGCTGTTTATGAGAGACCAGCTGAACCAGCACTTCTTCTCCAGCGAGACGAAGAGCTTCAGAAACTGAGGAGTACTTCAACTCTTCAAGAGAACTCGTTCTACTTATCTGTGATGAACAGCATTGTGCATTCCTCTGTCAGGAATAGCACAGGTTAAAGACAATCCACATCTTCCTCTACTTGATAAGTGCATAAACCCAACCTCAGAAAAATTATATCTTATATCAGCAATATTTTGCTCAACTGGAAACTGGCGTATCACAGCAATTATGCATTAATAACATTTCAAAGCAGTTCTGACTTAGACACAAATAATGGGAACCGGAGTGCAACTACAGTATATTAAAACAACCACATATAGCCTTCAATAAGGGCTAGATTTTTATCCTGTTGTTGGTGGTAAAGTACTCATAGATGTGAAGATAACTCTCATGCTCAGTGTATAATTGCACTGAATAAATGAATGAATCAATCAATCTCTTACTGTGCCTCGTTTGGACTTTTCACAATCTCATGTTTACAAGAAGTTTTATCTTTTATGACTGGCTGCTCAACGGGAATCTACAAAAAAAAGTTCTGTATGAACTTTAAACAAACACAGAAAGTAAGTTAGATGGATTAAAAATATAGCCACATAAATAAATACCTGTACGTTTACACATCTCAACCACGTGGCCAAAGGTGCAACCAAATCTAACACTCGCATGACTGCATTAGCAAAAGGTCAAAAACATGCCAATTATGGTGAGCAAATGCTGCCTAGTAAAAGACAATAATGCTTTACTTCTACATGAAAATCTCATTTGAAGAGCTAAAATCTTAGCTAAAATCCAAGGTCTGGAAACGTACAACAGCTGGGTCAGAAAAACAGACACAATTTAACTGGGGGGAGGTGCTCCCGAAAGTCATTTGCCCAGCAACTGTTCACACACAAGTCCTTAAAAATTTGTATAGAGGGATGAAAGTCTATGCCTGTAGCTTCTCAGCGTGGCTGAAAGTGGAAAGCAAGAATCTGGACACAATATGATACACAGACATTGGCCACCATAAGTTTGGACGGTGCTTGATGACTGAGGAATAGTGCAAAAGGGTATGAAAGGAAAGTAGCGTGGGCTAATAGTCTAGTCACGATAATTATAAATAATCCTCGCATTTCACATAGAGACTTATCACATCGTTGAGATGTTGAGACGTCTCAAAGCGCTTCACAGAATATATTGTTAAGCGAATTGAATGTATTTTGTGGGTGGAACATCCACAAAGCTGTGGTTGGTCTGAAACAGTTACCACATAGTAACAACCCCACATAAGTCAAAAGGAAACAGTAAGGATACTGGTTGGTGAAAAGGACACCAGCTATGGGTCCTCCAACAACATCATTACATTTGTATAGCGCCTTTCACATCACGTGCATTGATTCAATGAAATCCTTACATAAAAGCTGCAACTTAGAAACCCCGCAATGCTGCAGTTCCCCCATCTCCCAGAAGTGTTGCCTTAACAAGTAGGAACAGCCTCTGTCTGTAATCACAGCAAAGCTAGAGAGTCAGAGAAAAATAGAAGCAAAAAGGGAACTTCTGGAACAAGACAAATAAGGGTGGGTGGAGAGGAGGGAATGTAACACTGTAGAAATAGTACGTCAGCCAAACAAGCCATGGAGCATCTGCATTTCATCTCAGCACGTTGTCTCCCGTGCGCCTCTGTTAGACTGTAGTCATCACGCTGACCAGCTGCACGCCTATCAACAATTTAATTCACAATTCAATACGCTTTAGTGGTGAGTTTACATACAATCTTTTAAAGCTTCTAAGTTACAGCAGATAAGAATCCATTAGAATATACAGCACGGAAACAGGCCATTCGGCACAACTGGTCTATGCCGCTGTTTATGCTCCATATGAGCCTCCTTCTGCCCTTCCTCAACTAAGCCTTCAAGCATAACCTTCTATTCCAGTCGTGGATTGAGAGACCAAATCATTATTTATGTATTTTATATTAGACACAAAGTGTCTGGACTCACTAATTGTGAAAACAAAAATTCACAACTTTTTTTTAAAGAAATGTGGCATTGCTTCCAAATACAATCTTTTCCAAATACCGGCAGGGTGAAACCTTGGGCAAGTTTCCTTACTCTCGGCGCCTGATAATAAGCCCTCAAGAAAAAAACCCCAATAACAATTTGGTCATTCAATCCACAAGTGTTTGTGGGATGCTGCTATGTGCGCAATTGGCTGCTGCATTTCGCCCACAAAATATACAGTCAATTCACTTTACAGTATATTCTGTGAAGCGCTTTGAGACGTCTCGAAGACATGAAAAGCGCTATCTCAAATGCAAGGATTAATATTATTACTGTAGTGAGGTGACTACTGAAAGATAAAAGCTAGCATCACCGTGAATCCTTTTGAACTCGGATATAAATTACTTTTATAGTCTCCGCAAAACTCAGCCACGTGACTTTTCCTGACAATGTATTACAACACTCCAAGTACACATCCTGTCAGGTCCAGCTGCTTCCTTACTCATAAACAGTAGAGAACAACAGTCAATATTCTTCCCTCCACCCAGTAAACATTGGTTAGCTTAAAACAAAGAAACAAGTTTAATGGGGGAGGGTGGGGAAGAAGAGAAGGTAAGTTACCACATCCTTTCACCTTTGGGGTCTAGGTTTTAATTCAACCTAAGTGGGGGGAGAGGGGGGAAAGAAGGGAGGCAGGAATACGAACAATAATGAAACAGGTGTACTCATTCTAGGGTTGAGTTTAGAGAAGGTATTCTGCTTCTGGTCCATGCCAATATATATGCTTAAGTATTCACGTGTTCATTACTTTACTATTTAAAAAATCATTTTAGACTTCCATTATACAGGCCTTTGTGGATCTTGTTGACTCCCAATATTAAACGCTGGGGAGACTGTCAGTGCAAGCTGTTGGATGGTTCTTTATCGTAATTCCACAGTCCAGAAACAGAATGACAGAAGGATATGTGATTTGCAAACACAACTGCTTTCACAGTGACACCGAGACAAGATAATGCTTAAAAACAGATGTGGGGCGAAACCTTGGGCAAGTTTCCTTACTCCACACAGAGCCTAATAATATTCCCTCTAAAAAAACAAAACAATAATAAATTGGTTATTTTCAAACTACGACCGTTTGTGGGACATTGCTGTGCGCAATTGGCTGCCGCGTTCGCCCACAAATATACAGTCAATTCACTTTACAGTGTGTTCTGTGAAGCGCTTTGGGACGTCCTCCCGACGTGAAAAGCGCTATATCAAATGCAAGAATTATTATTATTATTAAACAAAACTGCAGCAGAAAAGAGGCATTAGTGTCCTCTGTAAAATGACACTGTGCAACTCTCGCATTTAAAATCTTATTCCAGCATCATTTCCATTCTGCTATAGATTATTAATGGTTATACATTTTAACCACTCAAGATAATAATGGCTATACATTTTAACCACTTTTTAAACCACCCAGATAATAATACTTGCATTTGACATCGCACCTTATCACGTCGTTCAGCTGTCTCAAAGCGCTTCACTGTAAAGTGAATTGACCCGTGTATTCTGTGGGCGAAACACGGCAGCCAATTTCGCACAGCAGCGTCCCACAAACGGTCAGGGATTGAGTGACCAAATTATTAGTAGGTA